TGACAAATATGAGTGCATGAACATGAAACATGGACAGAAATCACATATGAAATGATGCCAAATCATGAAAATAGCCTAAGCAATGCATGTTAGTGGCTTAGAAACCCAAGGCTAATGAGCTAGAATGAACCATGGCTATACAAAGCAATGCATGCATGACCAGAAAAACATAAATTAGACCTTAAGCATGCTAAAACATGACCAAAAGTTTGTTGAAGTTAAGCCAAAATCATGCTAGAATGATGAGCTCAAGTATGATACACATTAGGCTAATGAATGGAAATGCACTACAAATGCAAGGAGCATGCAAGAGGCTATCAAACCAACCCAAAATAGAGTTATGGCATGCTAAAACAACACCAAAAACATGCTGAAATGGAACCAATACACGCTAGACAAACATGCTACTTTGATGAGCCATCTATACAAGCATGCAAGACATAAGGAGAGGGGATGACCCTCTCCTATTTAAGACCTCAAAACACACTTTCCACCACTGAAATTCCTCTGGAATTCAGTGGTAGAAAGGTCATGCAAAGACTAAAACAAAAGCCTAAAGAGGTGGCCCAAAACAAGGCAAAACAAGGCACAAAAGGGGGTAGACCACCCCCAACACCAACAAGACCTTAAACAATCATTTCAAACACATGAAAATGAAGCTTTTTATAGTTGAGAGTTAAGCCAAAATAAGCATGCAAATAAGGCTAAGTAAGCAATGAACACAAAGCTTGAAAGAGGGTTAGTGACTCACCCTTGTAGAACAACTTCAAAGTGGCAACTCCAGCAACGTTTTGAGCTAAAAACCAAACTTTAAGTTCAAACAAAACCCTCAAGTACCTTAGCAACAATAGTATGGTGTTTGAGTAGGTGCTTTAGTGCAAAAGTGTGAAGAAATTACACTTTTGAGCACAAACAAGTGCAAAAATAGAGAGAGAGAGGAAGAAATATATATATAGAGAGAGAAAGAGTGATATATATCTTGTATCCCAATTTTCAGACCCTCTGGAAAGGGAGAGGGGGCTCCCTTCTTATAGAAAATAAAGTTCCAAGCTTGTTGAGCAAGCTTGGAGCTTGTTAAAATCCATCCATACACGTGTATGGAGGATACACCAAGTGACCAGCAGTTGGCACCAGCTGGAAGAAAAATATCTGCAGAAGCAGAAAAAGGGGTCTCGACCAAAAAAATGGCCAATCGATCAAAAAGAGTGCCGACCGGCCAACATTGATGGCTGATGAGAAGAAAACAAGGCAGATAAGCACAAGGTTTGGCCGATGGGTTGTAGGGCTGGCCAACAAGGCACCCTCTTCCCTCAGAAACAAAACCACAAGTCCTTGGTCCACAACCAAGCACAAAACAGATAAGTTGAGAGGTCCTAAGGCAAGGCGTGCAGCTGAGACCTTCGGGAACTCAAAACAAACACGAGAATGGATGATCATCGAGTGTTCAAACGATGACGTCCAAGTCTTGAGAACGGTCAAAAATGGGGTGTCTACAATAAGAAAGCTCAAAAATTCAAAGGAGGGCTAGATCTGGAAGTGTTTGACTGCGTTAGTGTGTTGAAACTACCCAAATATATGGATATGGTTGATAAAGCCCTAATGGTTGAGGCCAACTTAGCCGTAATGAAACAGAATAAGGTCCCAACAACCGAATGGAGAGGCAAGAGGTCTGGATTCAATTTTAAAAAGGGTCGTTCATTTACAATGAATAAGAAGCAAAACACGGGGTCTACTAGCAGCTCAAGTCAAAGCAGTGGATCTATACCTACTTGTTCTGAATGTGGAAGAAAACATAAGGGTATTTGTTATCGTACAACTGGTGCCTATTTTAGGCGTGGTAAAACTAGCCATATGATGAGGGATTGTCCTATCAGGTCCACAAATGCCAACCGTCCAGTAGCAAGTTCAGTTAGATCCGTTTTTGCATCAAGAACGAATACAAGGGCTAACACTGGGATAGAAACCTTAAGGTAGGGACGAGTATTTGTGCCTAGTGATACGTAGAACACCGAATCAGTGGTGTCAGGTATACTTCCTATTTGTGCTAAAAAAGCATATGTGTTGATAGATTCAGGATCCACACATTCATTTGTATCGAATGTTTTTTCCCAAAAGTTGACTAGACCTTTAGAATCTCTGAATTATTTGATGTCTGTATCTACACCATCTGAAGGTTCTATGTTATGTGCTTATGTGTCTCCTGCGTATGACATCATGATTGGGGATGTAATATTATATGTTGACTTGTTGTCATTGGACATTACTTACTTTGATTGTATTTTGGGTATGGATTGCTTGATCAACTATTGTGCTACTATCGATTGTGTGAATAAATCTGTTCTATTTCGACGACCCAGTTTGTCTGAGTTTATGTTTTGTGGGAATGGTATAGTTCCTCCCTCGTACTTGATTTCACCATGAAAGCTATCAAATTGTTTAATAAGGGATGTCGGGGTCATCTGTGTTGTGTTTTAACTAAGACTTCCGATAAGCTTAATGTGGAAGCTATTCTTGTTGTTTATGAGTTTCCTGATACGTTTCCTATTGACCTACCCGGGGATTTAATTGAAAGAGAAATTGAATTTACTATTGATGTTGTACCTGGAACACAACCAATTTCCAAAACCCCATATCAAATGTTAACCTCTGAACTGAAAGAATTGAAAACCCAACTATAAGAACTGCTAGGCAAGAAATTTATTTGTTCGAGTACTTCACTTTAGGGTGCTCTAGTTCTGTTTGTTAAAAAGAAAGATGGGTCTTTGAGGTTATGTTTTGACTACCGTGAATTGAACGAAGTAACCGTGAAGAACAAATATCCACCGCCCTGAATAGATGATTGTTTGACCAACTTGAGGGAGTACAAGTGTTCTCTAAGATAGACCTAAGATATGGGTATCACCAGTTAAAAGTCAAGGCGGAAGATATAGAGAAAACTACATTCAGGACTAGATACGGGCACTATGAATTTTTGGTGATGCCATTTCGGGTAACTAATGTACCTGCAACTTTTATGGACCTAATGAATAGGGTTTTCAAACAACTTCTTGATAAATTTATAGTTGTCTTTATTGATGGTATTCTGATTTACTCCAAAAGCAGGGAAGAACAAGAGAATCATCTGAGAACTACCTTACAGATCTTGAAGGGAAAGAAGTTGTATGCAAAATTGTCCAAATGTGAATCTTGGCTTGACTGTGTAACATTTCTGGGGCATGTAATCAACAAAGATGGCATTACAGTGGACCCACAGGAAATTGAGACTATTGTGAATTGGCCAAGACCAACCAATGTGTTAGAGGTCAGAAGCTTTCTAGGGCTTGCGGGTTACTACTGCAGATTGGTAAAGGACTTCTCCAAACTTGCTATGCCTCTAACATAGCTAACATAGAAAAATATGCCATTTGATTGGAACCAAAGATAATCTACTTTCCAAGAGTTAAAGACCAGATTATTGATTGCACCAATTTTGACTCTACCTAATAATACAGATGGATTTCATATTTACGGTGATGCTTCATACAGAGGCTTGGGGTGTGTGTTAATGTTGAATAGGAAGGTAATTGCATTTGCTTCACGACAACTCCGGCCACATGAGAAGAATTATCCAACCCATGACCTTGAACTCGTAGCTGTGGTTTTTGCTTTGAAAATCTGGCGCCATTATATATATGGAGTGACTTGTGAGGTGTATACAAACCACAAAAGTCTGAAATATTTCTTCACTCAGAAAGAACTGAATATGAGACAAAGAAGGTGGTTAGAGTTGATTAAAGATTATGACTTACAGATTCTATACCATCCTAGAAAGACAAATACAGTTGCAGATGCTCTAAGTTGAAAGTCTATTGGGAATTTGTCATGTTTGCTCACTGGCCAGAAAGAATTGTTGTGTGATCTAAAAAGAAATGAAATTGAAGTGGTTTTGCATGAACATGATGGAGTTCTAGTCGCCATTTCTGCACAACCGGCCATAGTTGAGGAAGTTAAAGAAAAGCAATTTCAAGATGAATTTCTGAAAAAGATTGTTGATGAGATTGGTTCAAAATCGAGGCCCGGATTTGTGTTCGAAGACAATGTTCAGAAATTTAGAAGAAGACTTTGTGTACTAGATCGTTTTGAATTGAGAAAGCGATGACCGAAGCTCATAACTCCAAATTTGCTATGCATCTGGGGAACACAAAAATGTACAAAAATTTGAAATAGAACTTTTGGTGGCTTGGCATGAAAAAGTGTATTGTTGACTTTGTAGCTAGATGTTTGCATTCCAATAAGTGAAAGCCGAACATCAACGACCCACTGGATTACTTCAGTCACTTCCAATATCGGAATGGAAATGGGAGCTCATTATGACAGACTTTATTAGCAAATTGCCTCACTCCTCCCAAGGTATGGATTCTATTTGGGTTATTGTTGATCGCTTAACTAAGTCTGCTCACTTTTTGCCTGTGAAGACTTTTTATAATGCAGACAAATTAGCTAACATTTATGTAAATGAGATTGTGAGATTGCACATCATGCCAGTATCTATTGAATCTGACAGAAACCCTAAGTTCACTTCAAGATTCTGGCAGAGTTTACAACAAGCTTTGGGGACTAAATTGAGATTGAGTAGTGCTTATCACCTGCAGACAAATGGCCAATCAAAAAGAAGGACCTTGGAAGATATGCTCAGAATGTGTGCATTGGATTTCCAAGGAAATTGGGAAACCTATTTGCCCTTGGCCGAGTTTGTGTACAACAACAACTATCACTCAAGTATTGGAATAGCTCCTTATGAAGCATTGTATGGTAGAAAATGCCGATCTCTGATTTGCTGGGCCGAAGTAGGTGATAGACTATTGTTGGGACCGAAACTTATGCAAGAAACAACTAAGAAAGTGAAACTGATTCAATAACATTTGAAAACCGCCCAAAATCGCCAAAACAGTTACGCAGATGTCTGAAGGAGAGAGAAGGAATATGAAGTTGGTGATCATGTATTTATCAAAGTGACTCCAATGAAAGGGCAAACTCGATTTGCGGTTAAAGGAAAGTTGGCACCACGATACATTGGGCCGTATGAAATTATTGAGAAAATCAATCTTGTGGCATACCAAGTAGCCTTACCTCCGGTTATGGAGAACATGCATAATGTTTTTCATGTTTCGATGCTTCAGGAGTATTTACGGGATCCACACCATGTTATTAAGCCAACATATGTGCTTCTGAAGGATGACTATACGTATGAAGAAAGGCCAATTCAAATTGTGAACCGCCGAATCAAAAGACTAAGGCACAAAGAAATTCCATTGGTGAAAGTAGATTGGAAAAATCATGGAGGGACATATGCAACATGGGAAACAGAAGAGGATATGATGAAGAGATACCCTAATTTGTTCCCTCTAGACCCGATATTCTTTCAAAACAAAGGTCATTTGAGTTTGGAGGACCAAACTCTTTAAGAAGGGAAGACTGCAACAACCCCGACCTGTGATTAGCATATAATCTTTGATTAAGAATGCCTAATAAGTAATCAAGATGAAATTTTATTTTAATTGCATGTGTTATATGTTATTTGCATTTATATCAGTCTGTTATAGAAAGATCTGTCTGTGGTTTTGTTTCATTAAGCGAATTGAAGGCTTATCGGCATCTGATCACGAAATTGACTTGGTTTTCATGTTATTTGGAATTTTTAGAACATTATGGTAGGTTCAATTGAAATTCGATTGAGAACTAAATAATTAGAATAAAATAAATATAAGTATTTAATCTAACCAAGAATTAATTAATTCCACTTATGGTACCTATATAAGCTCAATGTTGTCTCTTACCACCATTATACACACACTTCACCATCTTTTTGTCATCAAAAACGTGAAAAGAGAGGGAGAGGAAGAGATTGAAGCTTAAGGAAGAAAAAAAAGAGAGGGATTGCTAGTCAATTGAAAGAAATTGGAAGAGTTGTGCAAGAAATTCCTAGAATTTAAAGAATTAGGCACTCTAGGTAAGAATTTTATTCCTAAAGTTTGTATTCAAGACATTAGCGTAAGAATTCTAGAGTTTAAAGTGTTTAAACATGAGAATTGAGCTAGAAATGAAGGAATTTAAGTCACACCATTCATGCATGCATATTTTCTTACATTTTCAACTTAATTTTCAAGAATTCTCACATGCATGTAGCAATTATACCTTAATTTTGGGAATTCGTCATGTTTTCCATCGTTTTACCTTATTTGATCATGATTTGGAGGGGTTGAATTCAATTCATCACATGCATGTTATGCTTTCAAAGTTTCAAGTTGAATTTTGGACAACTGATTTACTTCTGGGCCTTGATTTTGGGAAATAATCCTTAATTCTTAATGTTTCACACGTTTAGGAATGTGTTCTCAAGTTTTGAGCCCAAATGATGTGTTTTAAAGCTTTGAAATTAAGTTTTGTATCTTGAACATCAATATGAAAATTCCAAAATTCTGCATCATCGCTCGAGCGACAGAACCTGCGCTCGAACGACCACTCTTTGTTTTGCACTTTCACTCGAGCGACCAAAAGTTGGCCTGAGCGTAAAATTCATGCTTCCAGTACTTTTGTGGACATGGGCCTCTGTTCGAGCAAGGCAAACTGCGCTTGAGCGAAAGTGCCTATTTTTGAACCTTGTCTCGAGCAACCAGAAGTTGCGCTCGAGCGTAAAATGAGAGCTCCTAGAAGTTTTGAGTTTTGCTCACCGCTCGTGTGACCAAAGTTGCGGTCAAGCGACCACCCTTATTTTTAAACCTTAGCTCGAGCAAAGGAAGTTGCATTCGAGCGAAGACCCTATTTTCAGCCGTTTGGTTTGTTTGATTCATCTGATCTGCTATTGGAGCCATCTGTGAGTAATAACTCTGTAAAGTTATGTTTAACTTTAATTATTTTCGGATGATATGAAATGATCAAGTTTTTTGAAATGCTATGTTTTATATGAATGAATGATTGTCCAAGTATCTGAAATGTAGTTGTGGCATCCTTCGTATCACGTGATATACGTCATTTTATGGGTCATCGGAATGCCTTTATGGACGTCCTTTTATGGATGATCAAAAGTGTCTCTGTGCACATGAGTCATCGGAATGCCTTTATGGCTGTCCCTTTATAGGTCATCGAATTTGTTAACGCTAATGGATGTACCACGTATGATCATGTGAAATATATGAACTTTGAACATGAATATGAATATGTATTTGTTTCTGACTATGAATCTGAATTCTGAATCTGTTATAGACATCATTCATTAAAACCTTTACTCTGTTTTTATTCATTGGGCTCTAGCTCACCCTATTATTTGTGTATGTAGGTGATTAGGCGCGAGACCAAGCCTAAGCTGTTACCTGGAGGTCAGTTTTGTCCAGCCAACCATAGTGCCACCCGTGGAGGTTCTGAAACCTGCTTCTGGTCAATGTTTTGTAATCCAGAATTCCATTAAAGTTTTCTTTCGTTTTATTTGTATGTTGGGCTAAGTCCTATTTTGGTTATATGTAAGTTAAGTGACGTAAGGTTGTTGCTTATATGACATCACGTTTATGTATATAAAATTTTAAATTTATATCCCATGTGTGTCTACACAGCTCTATGGACGTTATATGTTTGTATTTGGTTCTGCTAGCCCCTATATTTTGTTTAATTCATTCAGAGGCCTTTTGTAATCCCAGGATTACCGGCCCGTTAAGACGCTAAACCTATAAGGGCGGGTTTGGGTTGTGACAATGCACCTCAACCATGGCAATCAATTCTTCGTTTAGTCCCAAGCACTCTAATAGAAGACTATTTGCCCCTCTTTTATAAAGAGTATTCCCATATACTATAAACTGCATTGACTGTATTTAAGCTTTCTGCTGGCCTTCAAAGAAGGGCCAGTCAAATACTGAATGATTGGGTGTCTCCAATCCTACTCTTCCAAGTCATTTTGATTAGCTTCTACCAATATACCTTGTTTTGCAAAAGGTGGTATCAGTTTCTAGTATGTTTCTTGGCTCATGTCTATTTGAGTATAATCCCTTATTTTGAAATTCAAAGCTTTCTGGGCCACATCGTTGGCCTTGTGATTTATGAATCTTAGGATGTAAGTAACATTTGCCACTTGGAAATGGGAAGACAAATGTACAGCAACAACATAGTATGGCAACATGCTTGCACTTTGACATTTAAAGACCCCTTTTACTTTATTAATTACCAACTGGGAATCTCCAAATATGTCAACTACAAGGACTTGTAAACCAATCAGTATCTCAAGTCTTATAACCAAGGTTTCGTACTCAGCTTGATTATTGGAAAAGGTGGTCTCATCAATTCTAAAACCATGTGTGGTTTCTTCCCCTTACGGCGATTTAATCACAACACCAATTCCAACTAGACCATTAGCCTTTGATCCATCAAACCAAATCCACTGTGTGAAGTTCCATTATTTCTTGACTTTCTGTTTCACATGGATGATCAGCTAAGAAGTTGGCCAATACTTGACCTTTTACTGCCTTTTGGGGGACATATTCCAAATGAAACTCTAACAAAGCTAAAATCCATTTGCTCATTCTTCCTCTTAATATCGGTCTAGATAACATATTTTTAACCAAATCTGTGATTGCAATTATCAAGACAGTAGTAGGCAAAAAATAATATCTTAATTTTATTTTTGCAAAGTACAAGGCCAGACACAGCTTTTCTATAAGTGAGTATTTACATTCATAAAAGTTTAAAAACCTACTAAGGTAATATACTGCTTGCTCTTTGCCCTCTTCATTGCCTTGGGCCAAAAAAACTCCCAATGATTCTTCAGTTGCAACAATGTATAACTTGAAAGGTCTGTCCTTGGTGGCATTAGCACTGGAGGATTGGCCAAATTTTATTCCTTTGAAAGCAGCTTGATGCTTTGTTGTCCACAAAAATTCTTCTTCATTTTTTAACTTCAACAAAGAAGAAAAAACTTTAGTTTTCCCAGCAGTGTTAGAAATAAATTTTCGAATAAAATTAATCTAACCAAGGAATTATTGCAATTCTCTTTTACTTGATGGAGGTTTGGCCTCAATGATGGCTTTGGCTTTGTTCTAATCAATTTGCTTTCCCTTCTTATGCATTATATACCCCAAGAAGTTTCCAGTTGATATACCAAAAGCACATTTAAGTGGGTTGAGCTTTACCTTGAATTTTCTTATTCTTTCAAAAGTTGCTGTCAGATAGACCAGATACTCTTCCATAGACTGAGATTTTACAACAATATCATTAATGTAACACTCTAAGTACCCTCCAATGAGATCATGGAAGATAGTGTTCATTGCCCTCTAATATGTTACCCCCGCATTCTTTAACCCAAATGGCATCTTAACCCACCCGAAGGTCCCAACGTTCCCAGGACACTTGAAAGTTGTCTTGTGAACATCCTCCTCTGGTATGCATATCTGGTTGTAGCCAGAGTGTCCATCCATCATGGACAAAATCTTGTGTCCTGTTGAACTGTCCACTAGCAGATCAACTGCATGCATGAGGTACTCATCTTTTAGAATTGCCAAATTTAGATTTTTGAAATCAATGCGTACACTCAATTTGACATTTTTCTTGATCACAGGCACGATATTGGACATCTACTCAACATACCTGGATGTTTTTATAAAGCCTACTTTGAGGAGCCCAGCAATCTCCTCCTTTACCTTTTGAACCATCTCAAGACTCATTCTTCTAGGTTTCTCCTTGTATGGCTTAAAGTTTGGCTTGACTGGAAGTCTATGTTCCACCAATGGCCTATCCAATCCAGGTAGATCATTCTAAGACCAAGCCAAACAATCCTTATATTGTTTTAGGATAACCAATAATTGGTCCCTGACAATGGGATCCAACCAACCACTGATGTAGGTAGGTTGCTGTACTGAAGTTTCTCCTAGGTTGACTTCTTCCAAAGGATCTTGCATCTGAGTGCTTACCAACGCTTCTCCTCCAGCTTCTTCTAGCTTCAAAGTAACTTTTCCATCTTGATATGCCATAACCCTTCTTGGTTCAGCATCTTTATTTTCTTCTTCATAGACAAAATCTGTTAACAAAGTCTCTTCTTCATGTATTTCTTAGACTTTAGTTTCAATGTCCAACGCACAATACTTACTTAGAGCCAATGATTTGGCTTCTTGTTGCTGATGTTTCCAGCCTATCATCATGGCTTCCCTTTTTGTCTTTTGGGACTATTGCCTTAATGTCCAATGTGAAGAACTTTGATTAAAGCCAATGGCCTGGCTTCTTGATGCTCCTGCTTATTCATCATCAACACTTTCTTGTACCAAATGTTTCAGGTGTGCGACTTTCTCATCAGCCATTACTTTGGCTGTTGCACTAGGCTTCCTTAGCACACTTAATGGAGCCACCCATTCGGTATATAACTTTGTTTTTGAAAAATCTGCACATGCAATAAAGGGCTGTGGGCCTGCATTTATTTCCTCTGTTTCTT